TAGTATTAAATCATCCTTTTTGGCATGCATTGAAACAGCCTTCCTACTCGCTAACAATACAATTCGTTTTACACTTGTATTCACAACCATAACTATAATCTACGACCTGCATGAGAAGATAGGACTTCTGCTCTCAATTATCATGCATGCGGCACATAAATGGGGACATATTTGATGAGTCAGTAGCTGAAATACCTTGTCTTTTACATTACCAAGAACAATCCTGTAAGGAGCTATTGCAGGTTGCACAGGAGTTGGCTCAAGGAGTTTATGGAAGCTAGACCTTCCTACCATAGACTCTGCAAATTTCTTCCTCTGAGCAGCGAGTTGAACAGACGAGAAAGAAGGAACCCTTTTCATCCCAGTAGATGGAGACGCATTGGAAGAAGCTGGATTTCCATTTTGTGTGCTGCGATTGCTAGCTGGAGATATTGGGATTGAAGGGCCACGGTTTCCCTGTAATGAGCAGAACAGTGTATCACTAAATGCTACATGTATAGTAGAAAATTAGTGCAATAGCTGCAAGATTTCAAATACTGAGGACAAAGAGCACCTGACACATGTAATCTGTCCCTGGAAGTTCCAGATTGGGATACCTAGATCCATCATTGTCGCAATCTACACAGAACAACAGGTTAAAGAAGAATTCGTATAGCTGATGAAAAGGCTTGTTGACTAATCTAGGTTAACACATGACTGGTAGTATCATAACCTCATAAACTTTAAAAAGTAGGTATATCTTAGAAGGTGAATCTGGCTCGCCTAAACATGGACCCACAGGACAGAAGCGTTACATTTGCAGTTAATCAATATTCAAGTGAAAGGATTGTCAAATTTTTTTACCAGCACAGGCAGGTAGGTCAGCGCTAGCAGGTAGCTGCATTGGAACAGACCGAGACTGTTGGCTATGAAACTTGAACTGACTTCTGGTTCCTTGACTATCATGCTTGTCCTCCAAAGAATTTTCTGTGATGAACATTTACAATTCAGCAAAGCTTACTGACAGGAGTTACACAGGACCAAAACTCGCACATATGCCAAAATATAATAAGGTTAAGTTAGCACACACAATAGTAACAGTAAATCACCTCCAACAATACAAGCCTATCCAAGCACCAATTAGATATAAATTACTAGATAACTACAAGAATATTCCAATATCGCCTCTATGAAGTTCATTAAGCTATGGCATGCTTGCAGAAATACTGCTCTGAAACTACAGTCCTTAGGAAGCCGTATCGAGTATACTAAATTCCTAATTGTTCAATATCAGCTCAACTTTCGAGATGGCATGCAGCAATCTATGTACCATTGCATGGGAACAAAACAGAACAATATCCTCATAACTTCAGTTTATCTGCACCTGGTAGTCCGCGTATTAACTTGTCCGCATTTGCACTCAAAACTTATTTCTGCAGGCTATGTGACAGTATTCCAATGCATAAAAGGATATCTAAAACTAGCACTAGTAAGGGATTGATTGCATGAATGGTCGATCAGTATGAATTGCAACCAGTAACAAAGAACATGACATGATGAGTAAGACACATTCAATGACATATCTAGGCAGCTCAGGTTTGCAGTTTTCTTGTAGTTGATTGAAACAGCTTAAACTATCCAAAAACTCAAACCTGCTTTCAGAATATCATGTGCCTCTTTCAACAGCCTATCACTGCACCGAGTCATGGATAGTTCAAATCTGAGGCTATCAACTTCCCGAATATAAAGGTCAATAGCCATCCATCTAGATAATAAAGAGATATCTCTTGTGACCTGAAACATTACAAAGAGAGGTATATATTAGGTCCAACTTAGGAGCTATGGACAGGTTTGGTAGGGCCACCCACCTCCAAACCAGATCCATAATGTAGACTGCTCATGTGTTTTTTATCATTTAAATTAATTCATACCTTCAAGGAATTAAAATTGATATCAAATGGAGAATGTTCAGTTCTTCTTGAGTTTAGCCTCTTACAATCAAGTGAAGCTAAATACCAAAATCAAGAGAGAGTTCAATCATACCTTAGCTGTCACATTAGGATTTCCATCTCTATCACCTCCCATCCAAGAACCAAATTTTATTGGTGTGGCCGTCAATGGCAGTGGCATTCCTGTGTGCTAAGGAAGAAAGATGAAGAAATGAAAATGAGTTAACAGTAGCAACGTTTGAGTAACATGCCTAATGTTATGGGCAATGAAAGGGAAACCTTTTTCAGGGAATTGCTGACTCGACGTAAATAGTGAGGTACAGCTTTCCAAAGGGATTGCTCAACAATATTCAATCCTGAGTAGATTTGAAAATAACAGAATTACGTTCCATATGAAAAACTGTTCCACAGAATCAAAGAAAACATCTTCTCCTAGCACATTGGTGGTATATCTGCCAAGCCTCAACTATTGAATTCATGACATATCAACATTCCTTGTGTTCCAGAAACAATATAAAATGCTGGAGAAAATGAAAGAATCCATGTTTTCCATGAGTAAGGCATTATTGGTTTACCAGCCCTGGCCTCATCCACTGGTGTTGGTTTATGACGCCTGAGCTCATCTGTCTGCCAAATTGAGGTGATCTCTCTGACCTGCAAAATTTAGGACTTCGAAAATTAAGTAAATCACGCTGTTCTTTCCCTGCGAAAAGAAACACGGAGCAGAAAGCAGAGGAAAACTTGACGCTTTCAGAGCTATACCAGGTCTTCTATGAGCGTTTCTCGATCTTCATGAGTAAGATCAGTTCGATCATTATAATCTAATAGATGCTGAAAGGAAGGTGAAGTTAGCATGGAGTTACAAACACAAAAAGTACAGCTATGGATAATCAATCCACTCCATAGGCCTCAATATAAACTCACAGAAATTCTGACGTGCTTATACTGCAATGTACGCCGGTTAATTTGAGTAGGATGTGCAGTAAGAACGATTTCTACTTCCTGCAATAATAATTATACGACGAGATAAGAACGCATTACAATTCTGTAACCTTGTTTCCATGGAACTCCATTCTCCTCTTATGGTCTTTAGATCACCTCGTAGAAGCTATTCACGATACTTGTTGTGATCTCTTACTGAGTTCACTTCAAAACTTGCAGAATGAAGTTTTTACTTGCGGTCTACATTACAAAATGTACAACCATACCTGCTTACAGACAGTGCGATACAGTTGATCTGGAGAAACTCCACTCTGCAAAAGCTGAGTAAACACATCGTCACAAGATCTGGTTAAGTGAGTAGCACTTCTTAACCGGCGGACCCTGTGTTAATCCAAACCAAGTAATGAGTTTCTGAGCACTGATTAACTGGTAACAGGCTGTTCAATTAAACAAAGCTCATCATAATTACCTGTGATGTGTCTCGGCAATTCCCATCAGGTTAAGGTAATGGCTTACTGCACGAGCCAGAGTCAGGGCCTCCTCTAATGTCAACTGTGACATCTCCGCAGCAACTTGTTTCTCCAACATCTCTGCCGAGTCCTCTATCTCGGCCAACCTCATATTGCAAGCACTCTGTAACCAGATCAGATATCATTGGAGATTTCAATTACTAAGAAAAATTAACAGATAATCAACCTCATTACCAAATGATTGGTTCTACTTCTACCTAAACAAATCGACTAATCGTTAATTTTGTTAGGTTCAGAACAAACAAGCTCGTGAAATCGTTTGGGCGTACTACTCGTTTGTGCAGGGGAATCGAAACGGCGCCTAGATGATTATGCATACTAGAGAATCCGAAATCGTTTCTTTTCCCCCGTGCCGATTTTTCTCAGCAGCCAAACGTTATACCATGCAAAACCAGAACCAGAAAACTAGAAAATTCAAATGAAACCGAAAAGCAATCCATCAACGACGCTATAAAACCTGAGAAACGGAATCGAAATATCCAGAAAGTGAAACCGAATCCATAACAACCATCGCAGCATGAAGCCACAGTAAGCGACGAAACGAAATCATCAGAAGAAACGAAGAGGCAAAAAAACAAAAACCTGAGCGACGATTCGAATTTTTTCGAGCTTCTTCATAAGCGTGCTGTCAACTTCCCTCTGCAACACGTCGTTGAACAGATTCCCGAGCAGCTTGCAGTCGTCGTCGAAGCTCTGGAACGACATTTCTTCCGCGATATCGTCCGTGGTGTCCGTCATGGTTACGAAGCAGAAACGAAACGAAACAAGGCAAACACAAATAGAAAGGTCTGTGCGTTTACAGCAATCAATAGATCAGAGGAACGAAACAAGAAGAACAGAGATTTTGGTTCGATATTTTTTGTCTTTCTCGTAAGTTTTCTTCGGGGGAGAGAGTGGAAATCAGAGAGTGAGTGGGAGGCGCTGTGTGGAAAGATTGGTTAATGGAGGAGGAGGGGAAGAGAGAAGAAGGATTGAAGGAAGGAGGACGTTTTGTTTGGGTGGGGGCCGGGGGGAACAAATTTTTTCTGTTAGTAAAGTGGGACCCAGGAGGAGAGCTGGTTGCTTTTTTACCGTCGGGGAAGGGCGAAGGGATCCTCGACACGTGGCGATGAAGACGAGAAAGCTGAGTGGTGTTAATTTAGACGGAGCGGAGGGAGTCTAGGAGACCCGATTTTCATTTTTGGCAGGAAGTGAGGCGCTCAGGTAATTCCTGATTTTATTTAATTATTTAAATTTACCTTTCTTTTCTTTTGTTCAGTTGTTTTACCTATTCTTCGAATTTTCATGGGAATATCCCCGGTGTTAACTCTTTCTCAGGAAGTTAGGTTCTTGTTCAATTCTTTTAATTAGCAACGGGATCCGAGAGAATCATGTGACAGTTAATGAGTGTCCGACTTCTCTTACTTGGAGCCCAAGTGCGAATAAAATATTATGACTTTAGAAATATGAGTACGAAAAAGTAAAACAGCTGATTGATTCCCGCCAAAACGTGGCGGGAAGCGGGGTGCCAAAATACGACCCACACGCGGGAGCCAAACAAAGCAAAACGACGCCGAGCCGAACACATAGGTTATATACATACTAATCCAGCCAAACGATTGGGACTTTGGGAGAGAAACTGCAACACGCAAAGATCTGAGAGGAGAAGAAAGTAAATGGAGAAAGAGACGGAAGCAACGAAAGACGAGCCGGCAGCGCCGGCGCCAGCCCCCAGAGTCGCCGTGGTATTGTTCCTGCTAAAGGGCAAGTCATCAGTTCTCTTGGGTCGCCGCCGATCGTCTATTGGAGATTCCACCTTCGCTCTCCCCGGCGGCAACCTCGAATTCGGTGAGTCCCCAACTCCCTCCCTCTCTCTTTTTCTCTCATTTCATTTGAAACAAAAGAAATCAATAATAATCGATCAGACGCTTTCCCTCTCGTGAAAACCCAGGGGAGGGCTTCGAGGAGTGCGCAATTAGAGAGCTGAAGGAGGAGACGGGGCTGGAAGTCCAGAGAACAGAGTTCCTGACGGTCACAAACAACGTGTTCGTCGAATCCCCCAAACCCTCTCACTACGTCACCGTTTTCCTCCGCGCCCGGCTGGATGATCCGAATCAGGTTCCGCGTAATCTGGAGCCGGAAAAGTGTCACGGCTGGGATTGGTACGATTGGGGCGACCTCCCTTCGCCGCTCTTCTGGCCGCTCGAGAAGATGGTGAAAAGTGGGTTCAATCCTTTTGCTAAAATTCCATCTTAGGAGAAGCAAATATGACCCGACTCTCACTCACTGACTTCTGCTGCTGCTGCTGCTGATGCTACTATCGTGTAATTTTTCCTCTGTTATTTTCAGCTGTGTGGTTTGCTTTTGTACTAGATCTGATTGTTAGAGAAGTAGCAGGATGAGTTTCAGCTTATGAAATTGAGAAAAAGCTCCGTTCTTTTTGCTTGTTGTTGTTGACACGTTAGGCGAAAGTGAAACTCTGGAAATAGAAAAAGTCCTCATATAAGTGAATCCTGAGCCAAGTGGAGAATCTTGAGATTCCATTTCCCTGACACTTGCTAGTTAGTTGTCAGCAGAATCCATTTCCCTTCAAACTTGTGCAACACGGTGATCCCAATCCCTTAAGATCATTGTCTTTTCTGAGAGATCCTCAAACATATATGCTGTATAATCTCTAGTGGGATTAAATGACAGTCTCATAATTGGTTTGAAGTTCACCTAGTTCTCATAATACCAATTACCATGTACTCGGTTAAAATTGATAATAGTGAAGGATGCAGGATTGAAGAACGAGACACAGGGTATTAAAAAAAAAATAACCAGTAACTCGTAATTATTGAACATTAGCCAAGAAGAACTGAATCTTAAATCCCAAACACCTTCCAAATCCTTTACTGATGGTTCAGAAACTCTTTGAAGTTGAGAGGAACTTCTGGTCAAAGCTTCAGCTGATGTTTTTTTGGCTCATTAACTGAGATAAAATTTGGTGGATAACCCAACTGCTAATATGACTGTAATCTGGGTTCTGGAAATGGGGAATTGGAGTGATCGTGATTCTTGTACCCAATGCATTGGCTTAATTAATTTGGTTAGGCTGATCAAAGTACGATTTTGGGCACTCTTCTCCACCTCATCATGGGTTAGTGATACGGCCCAACCTCTGGGCTCTAGGCCCGCTTGAGGCTTGAGTGTCTTGCCTAAACACACCCTCATTTTCAAGGTTGTCAAACCGGTTTAAGTCATTGAGCCGGTTAAATAAGGGGTTTGAAGTTTAATGGTCTGATCGGGGTCCGGCCGATTTGAGCCGTTTTAAACGTTTTCATAATTTATATACAAATAAGGCAGTAATTAAAGATTTAATGGCTGAAATGAAATTTATCTTACATGTATCTATTAAGAACTTATTTTCCACAAAATAAAACTACATTTATCCACGACCCACCCACCGTCTCCCTTCCTTCGTTCCTCTTCCTCTCTTACCCCTGCCTCTCTTCTTCACTCTCTTTAAGCGTCGAATCAGGGACTTTTTGGAGGCCGTTTTGAAGCCCGGCTTAGGTCGGACCAGGTCCAATTAGGGGTCCGATAAGGGTTTAACAACCTTGCTCATTTCGAACCATGAGAGAAATGAAGGATCTAGAAAGAACTTTGACAGACACACAACTCCTCATCTATGAGTGGGGAAATCTTAATAGTTTCGTGCCAGCATCAATATTAAAAGATAAAGAATATTTATATTGATTTGAAATTTAGATATTTGTAAAATTTATAGTAAAATTACATCAATACCTATATGATAACGATAATGTAGTAATCTTTAATTAACATTCTCGTGATGCATCTATTAGAATTGACATAATTCATGGAATATAGAGCCCATGTTTGGCCCGGCTTTTAGAAGTGCTTTTCGGCTTCAAAAGCTGAAGCAGGGCCAAACACCTTTAAAAGCTCGGCTTTTGAAAAGCCGAAAAGCGCTTTTGTATAACATAAAAGCAGAAGCTCCAAAAAATCTGTTTTGAAAATACAAGATTATCCTTACCATATTTTAATTTTATTTCAGAAAATATAATTTTCCTTCATTTATATCATTTTAAAAATAAAATAAATTATAAAATCATATTATTTAATATAAAAGAAATCTAACAAGATCCATTTTGACTACTTTTTATTGTTTAGAATTTTTATTTTATATTATAAGTCCTTTATAGTCATTTTACACAACCGCTCATATTATAAAGCACTTCTAATAGTTTTACAGCCAAACACTAAACATATTTTTTTTAAAAGTACTTATCTAAAAGCTCCAGCCAGAAACTGCTTCTGCAAAACTTACAGCAGGGCCAAACTAAGCACCAACTAAGCAGGGCCAAACTAAACTATAATAGAAGTGATCTTTCCAAATCGAATACATGAATAACGGATTCCCTGTATAACAAATTAAATTTTCGTAAAGGAAAAAAGAGTTGCTTCTCGAGGCATCTCTTATTAGTCGCAAGCATAATAACGAATCAAGGATTAAGTGTTGCGTGGTTGGTTGTTTAGCTACACCGCTTGGCTTCTTCTCCAGTAGTAGTTGGATAAAAACACGTACGTACTTCCACTCCAATAATCTTGGTGGCGCATTGATCCAAAACCGTCCCTTTTCTCTCACTGTTTCTATAGGTCATGGAGGTGTGATTAGTTAAGGAAGGTGGGGGATCTGGTTAGTTGATCTGTGCCTTTGTTTGGCCGGTCTCGTCAGTTTTTGTTAATTATTATAAGTTAGTACCCAACGTTGGGTTTGAGATTTAATTAATTGGGTTATTGGGATATATATCACGGTTGAGTAAGCAATCACGTAATGAACCTACCAGCCAAATAAACAGAGGGATACTTCGGACAATGGGATGCCTACTTGGGTTGAATGTTTATAGGGATGGCATCATAGAGAGAGTGCATATCTATGGGATAGCTTACGTTGATTACTATAAAATAGTAATCACTGTGGTTACTAAGAGCAAATTGGGTATGACGAAAAAATTATTAATTACCTTTTTTGACAAATTATATTTTAGGAAGTTACAAAAATATATTAATTACAATTCTCTCACTTCCATAATCTTTTTCTCTCACTTCCATAATCTTCAGCCAGATCTCTCTTCTTCTTCCCCAATCTTTTCCTTGTTTTCGTTCAGCCGAACTAATACCGCTACAACAATAAAACAATACCAATCCATTAAAAGAACATCGTGGTTACTAGGGATACTTAGTGGTAGTAACCACCGTGGTTACTAGGGATAAGAAGGGTATTTTGCTTCCATCCTAATTCAAACTACCATTTTAATTACGGAGTAATTAGGGATAGATAATTACGGTAACTAATTATTAGGTAGTTTAATCAGCATAGGGCTTTGTTAGTATCCTATTTTCTGCAGGAAAAGATTTCTGCCTTGTACACGTTATCATAGGGGAGAAAAATGGTGATTGTCGACAGCGAACCATCGTCGGACGTGGTAGAGGGTAGAAGGCTGGCAATGGAGGCGTTGTTCGGAGAAAGTCCTGTTTCTAGTGGCGAGGAAGAGGATACGGCGATGCAAAGCGACGACGGTATGAATCTAACACTGAGTCTAACACTACATGATTGTATGCTTTCGCTTGAACAACAAAATATTAACATCGCTTTTGGTCGGCAAACCCTTGCAAAAGGATCAGATATCGTCGGAAAACCAACGTGGACGAAGGCGGCGCTTGTGACAATTCTGACGAAGGTGATGGTTTCCATGTCCATGTTGAGTGTGTGGATTGGATTGGTACTGTTACGTATTTGTTTTGGCGTAATGGTAGTCCTTATGTTGGTATATGTTGTATTGTTATTGGTAGTTCGTTCCACATTGGTATTTGTTTGATTGGATTGGTATTGTTTCTTTCTTTAGTATGAGCTAATGCAGTGGTAGTAATATTTTGACATATTTGCGTCAAATGGTAGTGAGTTGGTAGTGGTAATTTGAGTACTGCAATGGTAGTGATGCATTGTTGTTTTTCAAATTGCAAATCAAGTGTACAAAGTTGTACCAAACGACAAATCGTCATGGCAGCATTTGAGATTTGACAATAGGGAAGCATTTGTCAAGTTCTACAGGGACGACGGTAAGCATCTAATCCCTATTCTAACTCATTCTTAATTGTATGCTTTCGTTGAACGGCAAAATCTTAACACCGTTTTTGTTGGCAACCTCCTTGACAGGGTCAGATATCGACCGAGATCCGACCGGTGACGTAGGCGTCGGAGTGGACAATTTCGAATGAGGTGGGAATGGAAGCTTCTGTATTGGTATTTGTTGGAATATTACTGGTAGTTCGATCAACATTGGTATTGGTATTTCCTATATTGGATTGGTATTGTGGCGTACTTTGTCGTTTCACATTGGTAGTGGTTCTATTAGTATTTGTATTACGTGGGTGCATGATGGTTGCGTGGTTTCCTATCAGTTGCTATGGTAGTGATTAGTGATTGCAATGGCAGTTACTGCACTGTAGTTATCAGATACTGTAACGGTAGTGTTTTGTTTGTGGTAATATGACCTACTGCAATGGTAGTTATTCATTGTTTCTTGCTCTTTGAAGCCCCACTATTTGGGTTCTTGGTTCTTGCCATTACTAAAACAAAAAAATGGAAGGTAGCAACATTAACCAATGTTAGTGATGGATGGAAACTGGAAAGGTAACCACCACTACTACTGGAACTAAACACTATCATACCACACAAAACTACTACCGTTGCATAGAACACCACACTACTACTGGAACTAAACACTACCATTTCACACCAAACATCACAGGTATGCAGGTCACTACCAATGCAAGAAAAAAACCTACCATTCCAACTAAACACTACCATTCCACACCAAACATCACAATTCTGTAGATCACTACCAATTCATGAAAAGAAGCTACCATTCCAAACAGCATGAAATCTACCATTCCAACTAAAAACTTCAATTCCGCACCAAACTTCACAGGTCTGCAGATTACTACCAATGCATGGGAAGAACCTACCATTCAAAACAACCTAGAACCTAGATCACTACCAAAATTGACCACTACCTTTGCAAACAACCTAATAGTATTCAATACCAAACGACCATACACCAATCCATGTCAAACAAACTATCACAATCGCATAGATACAAAAACGACAAGAATACCATTCCACAAAAAACAAAACTCAGATTAATACGATTTGAAGAACATGCAATGTCTATACAATAAAGCGCGTTATTACAACACGTTTACAACACGATTTGAAGAACTCTCGCCGATCCCTCAACAACGAACAACCAGTTGCCGAAATGTCTCCCGCTGCGCCGGGGAGAGAACTTGCGGTGTCGGAGGGACTCTGCAGCGACAATACAAAACCCTGGGAAACGAAAGGGAGACAACCTCGAGTGAATGAGAGACAACCTCACTGGTGCGCCGTGTAATGTGGGAGTGGGAAAATCCTGGGAAACGAGAGGGAGATGCCAAAACCCTCGCCGGTGTTACAACGAGAAAGAAATCGTCACTGGTTGGTCGATTGAACTGTGGTTGGAAGATCGACGCGCTGGAGAGAAAACAAATGTCGTCGGATCGCCGAATGAAGACTAGAGACGACGAAAACAAAACGAGATGCGATGATCACCGATGAGAGCTTCTTGGGAGCGGCATTGTGGAGCAAAAATGAAAAAAAAAGGGAAGAATGAAATAAGGAATTAAAGATCACATTGATTTCGCTCCCATAATTACGTTAGTGAGAGAATGGATCGTGTGGGTTCCTCCCGAATTTAACATTTACTAAAATGGGCCCTTAGATTGGATTCGCTTAATCTTAATGGCCAATATCTAAGTAGCCACCATGATTACTCAAAAAAGAGTAACCAAGCTAACGCATTCCCTAATCTGTACCGTCAATTTAAAAATATAGTAAAATATAGATAATGAATGGTAAAGATTTTGGTAGTCACCGTGATTACTCAAATTTGAGTAATCATGCTAACGCATTCCGCATATCTATTATTCTATTCAAAATAGTTCAAAATTTTTCACATATTTATACCCACTTAACAATCAGCAAAATGTCAAAATCAAATTAATATCCGATCGGGTTTCGGGTATCTACCGTCATTCATTGGTAATAACTTATATTTATAACTTCAACTAACATGTTAACAATTACAGATATATGAAATTGCATAAGTAAAACAAATATAACAATAAATTACAAGATAAAATAGTTAAAAGCAATACAGTCATCATGTATATATCCTATATGTATAACAAATATAAAATGTTTTAAACAAAGAATGATCCTTAAAATATATATGTATATGAATATGATTGAGCGGCATCAGGTTGGATAATGAGAGTATACCCTTCAAACTGTTTCGTCGAAACTCTAAAACATGAAAATTAACCAAACCATTGTATTTTATAACTTAATAAGAAACAATATGGTGGTTGAGGTATATATAATTTTATCACCTTTAACCTTATCCAATACTAGCAATGGGTCCGGCCCGTTGGCCGGTATAGTGAAAAATACTGAGGTAATAGTGTAATAGAACTGAAGCAATTTGAATTCGTAACTTCGACCATTCCATCTGTAAGCATTGGTCCAAGTTTGAAAAGTATGGGTTTGGCATAATCAGGAAAAAGTTATCTGCTGGTGGTGACAATTTCCATTGGCGGCAAAGAAAGCGAGAGATGTGCATAATTGAAATAGAGTAACAACTTAAGCCTCAATTCTCCATTTTGTTGCTGATAGTTTCAGTTGCTCTTGCAAATCATTTTACTAATTACAAAGAAGCTACTAATCAAAGTATAAAGGTAGCATAAAAAAAGGAAAAATAAAACCATAAAGTAAAATCTGATACATAATTTGATAACCGAAAGTAATATCCCTACATGTTTTCAAAGGGCTCGAAGCTACGAACTCCCTTCCCCACCCAAAACGCCAGTAAGGTTTCACAACTGATGATTTCTATCCTAATATAATCCATGCTTCCCAAATCTCTATCCTTTCTTCTTCATTCTCCTACTTTTTTCTAGGTGACTTTTCCTCTTCCCCTCCCTCTGCTCCCCTTTCTTCCCTACTGCTTCTTCTCCAATTTTTACTTTCTCCCGTCCCTTGTTTGAGGAGCATACCTCACCGGAAGGTCACATGCAGAGGTTGTAATTCCTTTTTGTTTATTCTCCCTTAGATGATTGGTTTAGAAGAGGTTGCAGCCAATAAAGAAACAGAATATTCATCTTGATTGAAGTTGTCTTTGTAAACCCAAACCCTCCAAATTGCCCCTAGAATAATGAGATCAAATTACCATACTTGACATGCTAAACTGATATGCTTGGAAACAAAAATTTAGCCAGCGCCACTCAAATTTAGAGATATTCGCAGCCACCCAAACTACTCCTTTCCCATCATTATCCTCGTGACTTAGCCCAATCGAGGCAATCGGGTTCCTCATTTATATCGCTGCAAAATTCTCAGAGCATAACTCAGTCTCACAATTTATGCCCCCAACTCTGGTTCTTCTTGCACGAATGGAACCTGATTACCTGGGTAATCATATAAACAGAATCACATTTCTCCACACAATCTAAAGCTTCAAATTCAGTAAAAACTAAAGCATCTAGAAACAACCCGTAGATGAGCAACATACTACTAAATATAAAGATCCGAATACGGCGTTAACCAAACAAAATTTTCCAAAACAAAACTTATGCTAATACTACTTGTCTTCCTCATAGTCATCACATAACAAAGCATTCAATCATAAAGAAACTCCATGTGTACAATAAAAACAAATTGATAATAAGTTAAGTACAGAAATCCAAACACCGAGAATATAAAATTGCATTGCCTTTGCTTATCACAAACTGCTTATAACAGAGAAGGGGATCCCTCTATGTATTTTGTAATCAAAGGCTGAAAGTTCATCACACAACAAAAGGAACTAAAATAAAAGAAACTCTAGTTGGACATCAAAACAAAAGGATAATATATAACTGCAGAAACTCAAACATTCAAAATTTAGAGCTGCATTTTTTTGGCCGATCACAAAGTGTTTTTGAATCATTGCATATACAAAGATTGGAAGTTAGAACTAATTAAGTATAAGTAACATAGCGTATACCTTCCTTTTCCACTACTTGAACAATATTCAACCATAACTAAAAAAGAACCACGATTTGCTGAATCAACAAATTGCACAGTAAAAGAGAGGAGTAAGGGCAGGAGGGAATTATCAGCTGACTTCTATTCATGGGTTGTACGTACATGGGCTATGGTGGTATTAATAAATTGGGAGTAGAGTATTTTATAGTTGTATGTTTATTTAGGCATTATAATAGTTACTGTATCAATAGGATTTCATTTGGAAAAGCACTATAATAAGTAATGGTGAATAAGTAACAAAATCATAATGAAAACTCAAAGTATGCCACTCATTTATAATAAAGTATTATCAACAACTATCAACCATGCAAATCAATTACACATCATATTGACTGCAAATAGGTTTATTCATATCCTTAACTAAAATACTAACTAACTGGGTACAACAATGGTAAAGATATATCAATTTACTTGATCATCAAAATAGTAAACAATCGAGTAAAAAATCAATCAACTTAATTTCAATCAAACAAACTCATTTCTTATCACAAAATTTAGACAAAGATACTTGTCTTTTTTGTTGTTGATGAATGTTCATCCGAGAACATTCCCATCATAATTGGAGACCAAACCCTACTTCTACCTAACTACAAATTCATGTAGAGGGGGAGAAATAATTGTGGCTCCACCACACATTTATCAAAATTCTTCACCTTCATCTTTAATCCTGTCCTCTCAAGTCTCAATAACTTATATCAAAATTAGCTTAAAAAAGACTTTGACCATGAAAACCAAAAATCCATATAATAAGTTTTACACAACGTCAAACTAAATCTGTATCACATGAATTTTTATAGCTGTTTAGCAAAACTGAACACGAAGGCATGCTGGAGTAAAGATACAATTAATCACTAAAATAATTTTTTTTAATCAACATAGCTTTTTTATAAGGATTATCATTATAGCTTAAAGCATCGGTTAATTGATAAATCCTAAGCAATCGATTAAAATTAATTTAAAAAATTCCAATAGATCTATGAAGTCCTATAAAAATTAAAAGGTAACCTATCAAGAATACAATTAAATAATTTAGGTATTTACGTTAAATGTTGTGTTTAAACATGAGTATTTGTAAATTATTTGTAATATTAACCGGTATAAACCGGCACAAACCGGTATGTACCACCGGTCGAACCATTCCACTTGTTAAACCGACACACTGACATAAACCGGTTTGACAACCTTGCATTGCATACTTTTTGCAACATCAAATTATAGAAAATAACCGGTGAACAAAATAAATAAATAAATAACAGCAAGAGCTGAAGCGTGCAGCGTGCTATTGCATAGCTCTTGAGGTAGCTTAAAAAAGTAAAATGGGCCCAACGTGGTAATTAATATTTGGCCCAATCAGTAGAACCATGGAAACTGGCGGTTTATTCTAATCAGTAAACACCACCATTACACTATTACAGCTATAGAAGAAAAGCTTTGTTTCACCATCTGCAGATGGACTAATTAGTCAATTGAGAGAACACCAAGATGCTCAATCGGACGGGGAGAGGAAAGACCCAGGTGGTCTAGGTCGCCGACCCATTCAAAGGGAGTGGGAGTTTTGCTAGATCAGGCGACAGCGGCGCGGTAGAGGAGATTTTGAGAATGGGTGTGAAGATGAATTTGTGAGCGATAGTGGGCACGGTGGAGGGGAGAAGGTGGAATCGAGATTCAGTTTGGATTGAAGAGTGGGTGGTTTACAGGGGATGGGGTGCTTTGTCTGTCAACTTAAAGCGAGAGAGAGAGGTAATTTTACCAAACAGAAAAGGGTTAATACCTTATTATGGCCTGAATTATGACCATGTAATCAACTTTGGTCCGTGGTTTGAGAAATTAACATCCTAGCCCGAACTATGCAGCATATAGACAAAATTGGCCTGGAGCGTGGTTTGACCGTTTGTTTGGATGGTCAACACCGTTGACCGTTAGTCAACTATCCAGGTCACTGCCATGTCAGCACAAAAAATTATAATTTCAATTTTCTTTTTATTTCCTTTACAAAATTGAATGATAAAAAAACAAATTAAAAAAATAATAATAAATCAATAACTTTTAGCTTATCCCCTCACCTTCTTTCCTTTTCGATCAAACCCAAAAAAACCCTATCTTCCATTATGGACTCTGTTTTTCATTTACTTGCTATGTTTTTCAAATGTGGAAACAGGGAGAGGGCATCACAGCGCAGCGATTCCGGGCTGCCCGAGACTTACCAATCCGAGCAGGAGTCTGAATCAAGGGATCCGAGCCAAGGATCGTGAGATCAACATCAAAAGATACGGAAGATCCGACAAGGCGATATAATTACCATCCCAGCTGGAGTTGCGGACTGGTTCTACAATGACGGTCAGTCTCCTCTGGTTCTTGTCCAGATCATGGACACTAGCAACTTCGCCAACCAGCTCGACCAGAACTTCAGGGTAATTCATTCGTTCATTTGAGTAAAATTTCAATTTCATTCCGCCAATTGATTCAACATAGTCACTGATGATTTGATTTTTCTTTCAATTGGGTGGGTTTTCAGAAATTCTTCCTGGCAGGGAACCCGCAGAGAGAAATCCAAGGGCAGAGGGGACAGCCTTCGAGGCACCTGTATCGTGGAGGCGAGAAGGGAAGAGGCAGCGGCGCTGGAGGCCAGGAGCAACGGTTCGGCAACATCTTCCAGGCCTTCGACGAGCAGTTCTTGGCCGAGGCGTTCAACATCGACACTGACCTGGCGAGGAGGATCAAGAACGAGCAGTTCTCGGGGAAGAAGATGGAAGATAGGGTTAGTCTGGGTTTGATCAAAAAGGAAAGAAGGTGAGGGGATAAGGTGGGGATGGGTGGCCAAAAGTTATCGTTTTATTATTTTTTTATATTTTTTTCTTTATTATTCAATTTTGTAAAGGAAATAAAACGAAAATTGAAATTATAATTTTTTTGTGCTGACATGGCAGTGACCTGGACAGTTGACTAACGGTCAACGGTGTTGACCATTCAAACAAACGGTCAAACCACGTTCCAGGCCAATTCTGTCTATATGCTGCATAGTTCGGGTCAGGATGTTAATTTCTCAAACCATGGGCCAAAGTTGATTATATGGTCATAGTTCAGGCCATAATAAGGTATTAATCCAACATAAAAATAGCGAGAGAGAGAGGCGTTGAATTTACTGCTTTAACCCTCCGTTTTGTGCGGTTTGGCGAGGAATAGCTGATGTGGCAATATATTTATTTTGACATTGCCTTATAGTAATTTGTAGATCAAAACGGTAAAGAGACAGTCCGATCGTAGTTCTAATCCTTGTAATCAATCGTCCTAACAATACTGCATATTCAAATAATCGTAAACCACGAAATGTACAATTCAACGATCATTAGCACGTTAAGAAATCTTAACACCGATGAGCTAGCTTAGTGGTGTGGGATCGGATTCAATGCTAGGTCCCAGGAGGGACAAAAATTCGTGTGGGGAAAAATTGTCCCTTTCTCCTCCAACCACCTAGGGATCTATAAATTCAACAACTATGACTGCATAATTGTGATTATTGTCGGTATTAAATAGGATAAGCAGGGACGACGAGGCTTGAAATTGAATTGATGGCATGTACACCATAATTAGTTTATAATAATTAGTTTATTGGCTCGAAGGTGATAGCTGTGATAATGACAATGATGATACTGGGATCGCCTTTGAGGCTTTGACAACGATACTGCGCTCCGCATTATATTGGCATTTTCTGTACTTAATTAATTCCCCCCTCTAAAATATTCGTGTATGTGGTGAAGCAACTTGTTGATAGGAATAGCAATGGGCATTGTCAAAAAAAAAAGGAATAGCAATGGGCAGGTATCTCGATATCCATATATGTCTCGTGGTAAGTTGAGTACAAATAAAGTAATTTATTATGAAACATGAGTCGGGACAAGTCGACCCGTATGAGCATGTAATTTAGAAAAAAAAACATTAGAAATAATCATTTTCATTAAAAATCCAAGAAAACAAAAGATAGTATGATAAACATAGTTAAATTATTGAAGAAACTGAGGTTCTCACCTATTTACAACTTTCAACATAGCTCAAATATGAAATAATAAAACTAAAATTCTAAAGTAATTTGAGTATATTTACATATGATTTAGGCAAAACGGATGGAGAATGAGGCGGGTCAGGTCAAGGTTAGTACACATGCACATCCCGCTCCGTCTACAGAGCGTGTATTACTCGCCCAAAACAAATAAGGTAAAACGATCGAAATTGCCAACCTGGGTTCGATGACCGAGTCTTGGGCCATGGTGGCCATTTGTCATGTCTTAATAATTTTAAGACCCTTCTTATTAAATTATTGTGGTCATTACCTAACTTAATTAAATCATAATGGGGACCTTGTATATGGACCCAAATCGCCAATAATAATGTTCGTGCTGGTTAATTAGACCCTTTGCAATTCTCATCCACATCTTTCATTGTGACTCTATACTAACTTAGCTATGTCATGAGGTTTTATCTGATTGGTTTGTTCCAGATTTTCAACTAATTCATGAGTTGATTAGTGAGTAGTAGTACGTGTGTAAGGAATAATTTGGTGTATAATAAATGTATATGTTTCCTTGGAAGAATTCAGTGGAACTCTACTTTTTCTTCATGCACTTAAAAAATCCATGACAGTCTTGTTTGTAAGACTTTTTCATCGTTTTCACAAGTACCAAAAACGAGAAGATGGTGCAAAGGCAAAAGAAAAAGACTGTTAGGGGATACGAGATTACTAGGGTTTTAGCCGATACAGAACACGAAGGTGGCTTGGACCTTAATTGGAGGCTAGAGTTAGGCCATTTACTTAAGGGATGGATGAGGTTTCAATTTAGGCATTTAGCTAGCTTGCTATGGTTTTGAGACAACTGGGCAGAGCAGAGGCAGAGTACTGTGAAAGTGGGCGGAGGGAGGGCCTGCCTGGCTGCCTCTGGCCTTTGCTTAGGGTTTGGTGCGATGGGTTGCTGCTAGCAACAGTTTTGTTAGAGAGAGCACAGCGTCTTGCAGAAACAAAAACCTAGCATACAATAGCAGTTTTGGCTGTGCGGCCTCTGGCTCAGCCTCAGCTGTCCTTCTGTCCGCTGTGAAACTAAAACTGTACGACGCTTATTTGCTGGTCCTTTGGTCGGGTACGGTTTGGTGCGGTTTCTATCTTCGAATTTGATTATCTCATTAGTATGAAGGCTTGAAAGCTGTATTTGGAGGTCTACTTACATCATTCCCATTTTCAGGCTATACCATGTAGAGATCATCTATCTCGTTGAGTTAAAATGATTTCGAGCCTCAACATTTGAATGTCCGAGTCTGTCGCGATAGCTACCAGTACCATCTCATTGCATTTGTGTTATTTTCATAATCTTATTATAATAATTAAGGATGACGGCACAATCCGTTGTCATGAATACACTACCGAGTCTTAACTGGTGAAAATTTTGATAGGTATGGTGGGAATATAAGTTTGGACCCAAACTATACGCATATTCATATACCCGGCTACCCGCCCCCCAAAATCATATGATTTGGTTAGTACTTGTAATACTTCTTTATGTCTTAACACCCATTTATCTTCTATTTCATGATAACCTTGATGTTAATTTTAACATCTTTCTTTTAAATGAAATTGACTCACTTGTATAGTCTTATGAGCACCCATAGACCACGTAACCATGTTCATTGATCACGGTATGGATACACCATTCCAATATCCTACGAGGTTTTATTTGGTAATAGTGTGGGCGTCGTCGACATATTGGGTATGAATTTAGGGTCTGATCCAACACATTTTATCTTGAGCAATGATAAGATGTTAAGATGTAGACAACCACTCAACCTATATTGATCAAATAGGGTAGATACATCTTTTTGTGTTTGGTATCAAATTGAGATTATGTATCATTAAAAACTACTCAATACATTTTATCGACATACATGAGTAAACAATAATTAGCTAATGACACAATTACTTGTTCGTGAATGGTTTACAGGAATTTTTTTCAGATCAACTTTGGTTTCTCCTCACACCCATTTATTCTTCTATACAGCCAATACATTTGACTTTTAACTTAAGAAAAGATCACCCTTTGTTTTCCCAAAAACCGGTTTAGTAGACACTAGACAGTAGTACAGTACCCACTGGCCACTACTCTCTTGGAACGAAAAATAACCACAAAAGCAAAAAAGTTCTGTGTTTCCAATTGTCTCCATAGATTCCACTATTCTCTGACTTTCTCTTGACTTCCTCGCCACCAGTCCCCTGTTCTTCTCTTCCTTGTCTCCATTTTCCCCATTCCCCTATCTGCTCCTCCAGAAAATTTGCTTCTACTTTCCTGTGAATTAGGTGAGGCTGTTCACCTTCCTTTTGTCAGGCTTCTCTCTTCTCCTCCTGTCCCAATCTCAGGCCACCTCCCCTGTTTTTTGTTTCCTCTGCTTCACACCCGTAAAGCAGAGAGCGAGACAGTGAAAGCTCTAACTGTACCAATCTTTTTTTTTTTTTTCATTACAGAAATATATCACATCACCACCACAATCCACGCCAATATAAGCTCCCAAATCCTCACCTAATAAGCACAAACGAAAGCTTGCCAAATCCTCTCTTTTATATCCGTATCTCACTCTGTTCTTCTCCAGCTTCAAACCCACACTTCTCCAAATTCAAACCAAACCACATCCCACAAATTTCTCAACTTCTCCCCCCTAGTTTTATATTTTACCTTCCTTCCCCTCAACCCATCATGAGTAATTCGATCATGACGGCGAAGACCCGCCACGACTCCTCTTTCTCCTTCTCCAGGCGCTACTTCAACTGGAAGAGGCATTCCGTCGAACACCTTGCAGACAACACCGACCACGAAGAAATCCTCGCTACCCACCACTCCTTATCTCACCACTACTCTTCCGACGACGATCTCCACCCTTCAATTCAAGACCCACAACAACAGCTGAAGAAAAAACACAATCTTTCCAGCAAGCTGCGGTCGGCGTTCACGCTATTGAGGGGAGGAGGAAGTAATAATTGCGACCGGAGCTCGAGGCTGGGAACCAAAGTGGTCGGGACCCTTTTCGGCTACCGGAGGGGCCACGTCCACTTCGCGTTCCAGGAGGACCCGAAGCAGAGGCCGGCGTTCCTGATCGAGATGGCGACGCCGACGAGCGTGCTGGTGAGGGAGATGGCTTCTGGGCTTGTGAGGATTGCGCTGGAGTGCGAGAAGAAATCTTCCCCAACATCGGCGGAGAAGAAGAAGAAGAAGAAGCAAGGGATTAAGCTGCTGGAAGAAGGGGTGTGGAGGAGTTACTGCAATGGGAAGAAATGCGGGTACGCATTGAGAAGGGAGTGTGGTGAGGAGGAGTGGAAGGTGCTGCAGGCGGTGGCGCCGATCACGATGGGCGCCGGAGTTCTGCCGGCGGCGGCGACGGAGATGGAAAAGGAAGAGGCTGGTGGAGGGGAAGGGGAGCTGATGTACATGAGGGCGAGGTTTGAGAGAGTGGTGGGTTCGAAGGATTCGGAAGCGTTCTACATGATGAATCCTGAGGATGGTTCCGGTGGCCCTGAGCTCAGTCTCTACTTGCTTAGGTCTTAGCTAATCATATATGTACAAGCCTTCTTTGTTTTTCAAAATTTCTCTCGTCTTTTCGCCGACGGAGAAGGGGGAAAGGGAAGATTGAAACTTGTTCTTCCCTGTCTGCTCTGCATGTTTTGGTATCGGCGTTATTGTTAGTATTGGTAACGATTATTTGTCGTCGTTGTATCCTTGTAAGTTTGTATGTTGTTTGCCAATGGTGGATGGTTTGGTTTTGCTGTTCCGAAAAGTGGTTTAACAGCTGAAACTGAAAGATGAGGGTGGATGGAGGTTGGCCTTGTTGGGTAGAACCGTAGAAGTTTTTTTTTTTTTTTTTGACGGGTAACCTGTGAATATAAATCAAAGTGAACTGGTTACATCATCCAGCCGAACCTGATCAATAAGAAAAATCGGAGGGCTTTCAAGCCACACTTCTCTGTTATCCCACTGGGTTTCTCTATGAGCCATAATGTGTGCCGCACCATTACCCGTACGTCTCACATGGGTTATACTTCTCGGATTCGAGTCCGTTTCCTGGAGCAGGCTTAAGATCCGCCTGCAGATGGTACCAACCTCAGAATGGATCTCCTGACTCCTGCTTAGCTTCTCGACAAGGGTTGAGCTATCTACCTCGAGCTGCAGCCTCCTAAATCGAAACTGACCCGCAAGCTGGACGCCAAACTCCGCTGCTAACGCCTCCGCCATCTCCACTTCATAGGGTCCTCGTACTCTTTTAGCTGCAGCAGCTAGAAATCGCCCTTGGTGATCACGCAAAACAGCTCCCAATCCAATCCCTTCATTTGCCACTATCCTCGCGTCGGTGTTAAGCTTTATATAGCCTTCCATCGGCCTCGTCCATCTTCTTTCTGGCTGGCTGTCCGGGGCGGCCTCTTCTGGGCCTTGATTCTGCCTGTAATCCTCGAGAATGGTCATGGCACGCTGGACAATCTCTTGCTCCGGCCATTTAAGGCCATTGAAGAGCTGAGCATTTCGTTCTTTCCACACTGCCCATAAAAGCATTACCCAAGACTCCACTACATCGGAGCTTTCTTTTTTCAGGACCTTCTCAACCCACTTCATGCTGCACGTATCCCCATGCTCCGTGAACACCCTCTCCCACACCGTTCCTCTCCACACCCGACAGCTCCAACTACACTCAAGGAAGAGGTGGTATTGAGTTTCCGTTTGACTGCAAAAAGGGCAGCCGTCACTCCATCGTGGATTCCTCCCGGCCGCTTTCACTCCCGTAGGCAATATAGCTCTTGCGAACTTCCACATAAAATGGCGAACTTTCGGTGGTACTCTCATAGTCCAAATAGCTTTCCACAACTTTGCATCACCACTCGGTCTAATACCTTTCTCCTGCATAAAACCTGCTAACCATCTCCTGTACCCGCTCTTCACTGTGTAGCGTCCATCCTCGCTATGTCTCCAAACTAGCCGGTCTTGCTCCTCCCTCCCCCTAAGTGGGATAGTTAAGATAGCTTGTGCAATGGGTATAGGGAAACACGCATATACCAATCCCGCGTCCCAGCTGTCGGTCTCAGGATCAATAAGGTCCCGAACTGTGGAGTCCACCGGGATATGAGTCGGCGCCGAAGTGACAAAAGAAGGTTCAATTGTCCATATGAGTAGTTTTGAATGCATATTGTAGCAAATAATTATTTGTTATAAGTGAAAGAGTGAAGGGAGAATTGAGGAGGAATATTAATGTTTGGTTTGGTTGGTCATTTTAATTACAGTTTAATTAAAAAAAGTTAAATTATCATTTTTGTTTATGAGAATTTCTAGTGTGATCCCTATATATGTTTCAATATAAGGTCATATATATATATATATATATATATATATATATATATATATATATATATATTAGTTGCAATGTCAGTGATACAATACAAGTTATGTTTGAACTTTGGTCTAGCTTCAACTAGGACAACATGATGCGTAATGTGGCTTGATAATTAGAACTGTAATATATAGATGAACATACCGTTTTAGTTGACCATGATAATAAGAGTAATTAGCCATCTACTCCTGATTATGTAAGAAGACGCCACACTATAGGTGAAATCAGTTGTGATAAATCTAAAAATTTGAACATAAAATTACTAATTCCCGAGCAAGTATATATGAGATTTGAATGAAAGCAAAATTTGTATTAATCGTTTATTTCTTTTTCTAAGAATAAATTATTGAATTTTTTTTTTATGATAATTAGCTTTGATGAACTAGCCCTAACTATTTTGTTGGGCAACCTTCCTCTCTACCAATAAATTTCTTGGTATCCTAATATTCACGTACCATTGATTCAGGTAAGGCTCAAGGAACCAGAGTGAAGCTCGGAGTTCAGATTCTCAGAGGCTAGCTCCGGCGAGAGAACGGCGCCAGAGGGCGTCTGGTTCTAGAGTTAAACCGGCGGAACGTCGACGAAGGCAGAGGAAGGTTGTATCATGATGCATGAATTTGTGGAATAGTTGGGCTGCAATGCAACTCGTTCTCTCATATCTGTAATATGTTGATTTGGGCCAAACTATTGTTTGGGCCTTTAGGAGAAACAACTGATAATTGGGCCGAGTTAGTTAAATCCAGTTTCTTCTATTTTCTCCCCAATGCCGGCAACGGGTTAGATAACATGAATCCTTTCCCAACCAGGATTAGAACTAAAGTAAAATATCTAGAAACGCTTATTTAGCCTTATTAATTATTAAAATCTATATAAACAAACGATCACCATTACAAACGACGACGTTGGTGGGAAGATTGGCATAATGGCGACCACCACCGCATGAGGAACTTCGATCACGAGTACCAACGACGTTACGACAGCTGCAAGTTGCTAAACCCCTTGACGATAATCCACACTTTGTATCTCTCAATGCTCCCATTAAAACATGGACCTTAATGTTGTATACCCATCTACACTCCAACCAACTTCATGCCAGACAATCCCCTATTTCCCAAGTTTCATTATCTCCTCATGCCTTCAGCTCAAATCTCATGGCATTTCTTCAACTCTCTTCTCTAAATGATTCATTAAAGATTGTCCTGGTTCCCTACAACTGAATCTTGACTCTACAACTGTTGTTGCTATTATCAAAAACTGCAATGATACGAACCACAACCATGGTTCTGTTACAGAACAGATTGGTAGGATCCTGCAGCGTGATTGGGAGGTGAAAATCAACCATATTTATAGAGAAGGCAATTTCGCGGCCGACTACCTGGCCAACAAAGGCAACTCTTTCCATTTTGGCACACATTCCTTCGATGTGTGCGACCCGATGTTGGGTCATTGGATTAGCTATGATTGTATTGGCATTGCCACAGAACGTTTAGTTATTAATACGATTTAGACGCCTCCTGGTGTCTGTCTTTCTACCCAAAAAAAAAAAGAAGAAGATTTTCCTGGTGCTCTATCTCTCTTCGCTCGACCAATCTTCGACAAGCAGGATTTGAAACAGGCTTCTCCCAATGCCCTAACTCAGTATCACCAGAGTTGCCATTTGTGAACTTGAAGATCAAAAGTGTTGCAAGTCCTAAAATCTTAGTTGTGATACCATGTGAAACTCTTGGAAATACGGTGGAGATTGTTTCAACTTTCAAGCTCTTCTAAATTGATTTAACAATAAAAATAAATTATCGTACGAAGTATACTATATACAGACAAATAACCATATCTATTTTTATTATATAAATAAATTACTTAGATATTTTTATGTCTATATTTAAAATATTAATTTGTATATTTATTTTATAAGAATTCGATCTTCTGACTCCTCCCTAACGATAACCTAAACCAAGTAACATATCATTAATTCGACCAACTTAATGCTAACTATTATGTTGGGCAACCCTCCCTCCTAATCCTATGGACCAATATAATTCTAGACAAAGCTAACAGAGTTACAGAATTTGGATTGATGATAATATTGCCAAGTAACCGCCTTATCTGAAAAAAGACATAACTTCTTTTATGTGATCAGATCGATGTTAGCCATAGCGGCATAGCCCTAGGAGGAACATATTTCAGCTGGGGAATGAATGTATCTCATTTTCAATGGTTGCCCAGCATAGCATTGTTAATTGCTAAGTCTAACCATTAGTGGAGACTGGAGTCTTTGTATTGATTTAGTTTACATTAATGTAAGGGTATTTTAGACGATTACACAAAATGTACACCCTTTCCCAGCTCGTAGATGGCTAATATATTTTCATAATTGTTAGATGTACGTTAAACTATTGGGACCTCCTACAGTAACTTTAGTATAATTTCAAGTTAGGTAACTTACATAGATCTAGATCGTTAAAATCGATCAATCTTATTTTAAACCATTGATTAAAGAAATAAAAAATAAAAAAATAACTAAAAAATCATTGGCAACAAGGGGTTGTCGGTCACCATCCACGTAAGTTACCATTCTTTGTTTTTTCCTTTCCCTTTTCAAATTTATTTGCTTTCCTTTTTTTACCCTTTCCTTATTTTAATTGTTATTGAATTAGAAGCGTTATGTAAAGTTTCCGTAATAACTTAGCACTTTACGTAACGCGAGGTTAATACTCATTACATAAAGAGACCTTCTATTACGTAAAGGGTACGGAATGATAGTTATTTCTTACGTAACAGTGAAATCAGAAGCGTTACGTAAAGCTTCCGTAATGACTTAGCTCTTTACGTAACACGACATTAACACTCATTACGTAAAGAGACCTTCCATTACGTAAGGCTTCCGTAATGACATTTTACAACTGTTACGTAAAATACACATTCATTATGTAAAGGTTACGAAAGGATAGTTATTTCTTACGTAACAATTAAATCAGAAGTGTTACGTAAGGCTTCCGTAATGACTTAACACTTTACGTAACGCGAGGTTAATACTCATTACGTAAAAAGACATTTCCTTACGTAACGACAGTTATTTCTTACGTAATAGTTAAATCAGTAGCATTACGTAAGACTTCCGTAATGACTTAACATTTTACGTAATGCGAGGTTAATACTCATTACGTAAAAACACATTCTATTACGTAAGGCTTCCGTAATGATCTTTTACAACTGTTACGTAAGATTACCATATGTTACGTAACCATTATGTAATGTTTATTGTATTTTACGTAATGCGACCTGTGAAACCTGCTATCGCAGGTAAAAAAGTTCAAGTTACCTTACTTTAAGTTACGGTAGGAAATCCCTAAACTATTTTGATTATGAATCGCAATTGTCTGTTATTATTTTTTAATAATTCAATTTTATATTTTACGTATAGGAATTAGACTCGGGTTTATCCATATTAGAGGTTAGAATTAGGGATAACAATTTTGCCCAAACCCATGAGTATTTATTTATCCAACTCAATTGGGTTGGGTATAAAATCCAAATACATGGTGAATGGGTAGAGTTTGATGGCTCTACATTCATACCCATTTATTTGGGTTGGGTTGGATTTTTATTCCATGGATTTGTGTTTGTATACTTTTTAAGTTTTACAAATAGGTCCAATATTTGCATGTGTATTTAAAACAACCTCAAGCAAATGAGCATACATACCCAACCGCGAGCTCATTTAGAATATAAAAGCAATACCCATACTATATGCAAACCCACATATACTTCGCATACTCTACGCATAATAAATGAGTTTATTTGGATTTGGGCAAAATTACTCATGGTAAGGTAACTATCATTCTTAATTAGAATATAGTATCTTACCACAAATTTTGATTACTTCATGATATAAACAATGAATATATGATAAAATTAACGTACACCAGATATACATACCTAGCTAGTCTCAACCTAAACGATAGACATTTCAAGTAACTGAACCATGTAAATCATTAGGGACTATACTCCCAATATAACGTACTATCGTGACACATGTCCAACATCAACCTTGTGACAAGTGATGTTCATAAATAAAAACCTTTACAAATGTAGTAGGGTACCCTGCGAGAGTGTGATAAAAAAAACCGAAAGAGACTCCTGTAAAATCATGGAATGTCGACGTGCAAGTAACTAATTCTCAAACAGCATTAGCATATATCAATCGATCAATCCATCAGGAGATTTATAATTTTATCCTTCATTGGAGGCAGTGGCGGACCCAGGATTATTGAAAAAGAGTGTCGTCGATAAAAAATTATATTAAATAAAATAATTAAATAAAAATTTAATAGAAATGACTGGAAATTCATTTATAACTTCACAACGTCATGTTTACTATGAATTATGACAATTTTTATATCCTAATTTTTTTTAAAAATACATTGATCGTTTATGTTGCAAATCAAACCTTTTTCGATATACACAATTACACAATCATTCATAAATTAGTCACTCAACCAAAGAGAATCGACCTACGTCTAAAATCAAATTAAGTTAAAATAAATTAGTTTACAATCAAATATAGTAAACTACAATCTACCAATCAACAATTTTAGAAATAACAAAGTATGCCTAAAGTCATATCATTAGCATTTTTTCTCTAGTCCTATCAAATTAACCAAAATCAAACCACAATCTCCCATCTATATTTGCAATTCACCTATTAATTACAAATCGAAAAGCTAAATTGGGTTGTGGGTTACTTAAAACAAGCATGCTTATTTGATTTTACTTATTATTGTTAAATTTGATTTTCTCTATTGTCGTATAATGAAGGTGTGTCGCTTATAATTATTAGAGTGGGAAGTCCCAACTTAAAAATTTTTGTACCAAAAAATGGAGGTCCTTCACAAAATTTTCGGACGGAGGGGTGTCGGACGACACCCTCCCCTAGCCCTAGGTCCGCCCCTGATTGGAGGACAAGAAAAGAGATGAATAATAATAATGGCTTCGTAATTTGTAAACCCCAAGAATTTAATTCGGCGACATACATGTAAGGAGGAAATGAAGGTGCTGCGGTTATTTCTCATTTAATGGGGGAGAGGGAATTTCAGGACAAGCAGTCCAAGTCGGGAAATAGAAAAACCAAACACGTTGAGTGGCTTTCGACTTCTCCATCTGCCTGCCAGCCAGCCCAGCTAGATCTAAGTTTCTTCCTCTTCCTATCTCCATTCTCCATAGCCAAATCACCATGGTTAATGTGATATGTATACTCAAGATCAACTCCGTGAGTTTAATGTGTAATAGCCGTATTGTTAACAAAACCGGTGACAAATCGTATTAAGCCATATCAATTTGCTACTAATGAGTGAGTACTAATGTATTACGTTATATAAGTTGACACAGTGTGCCTATTAGTTTAGTTTTCACGTCTTTTTCGTTTCTGGGTAAAATCCTTCCACGACGACTAATGGAGCTATATGCTTGAAGTTCCTGCCTTCGTAGGTTTGAGTGAGTACTAATGTATTAAGTTATATAAGTTGACACAATGTAGTTATTAGTTTAGTTTTCGCGTCTTTTCGTTTTCTGGGTAAAATCCTTCCACGACGACGGATGGAGCTATATGCTTGAAGTCCCCGCCCTCGTAGGTTTGAGTGAGTATTCATAGGATATAGAACAACTTTCAGGCTATATATAACCATATCAACTTGATAAAATAGTACATAGTGTAACATTTACAACCTACTAATCCATTACGAATCCCAACTACAGAGAAACAGAGCATTCATCATCACCAATCTCACATACAATGGAGAAAGAAAGCAGAACAACTTAGAGCTAGCTAGGTGCCATATGGCGAATCAGAACAACAGTCCTCCCTATCCTATATACTACACATCCAAATCTGTACAAACGACAAAACAATACCGTAGTAAAAACAACAGAAAAAAGAAACCCTGAATATCAAGAACCAGCGAGCATTTTCTATGGTTTCTTGATCTATAACCAATCCAAGAACCAAACAAACCTACGTACTACAGGCAAAATCTCCCTATTACAATATAATCTCGATCCACCCACACAAATAAATAATCAGAACAGAGAGGAAAAACTGATGAATCCTTCCTCTTGTCCATGTCCTTCAATTCTCGATGGAGTTGTGCCTCTTGGAAGGGCCGGAAGGCGGGATCGGGACCCCTTTCGGCAAGAAATTGAACGCCGCCGCCGCCGCCGCCGCCTGACCCTCGTACTGAAACGCAGTCAGGTAAAGCTTCCGCCCGTCTGGGGATTGGGGCCCTTCCTTCATTATCAGAACGGCACCTGGTCTTGTGGCAGAGCAAGAAGCAACGAGCAAAAACAGAGTAATTGCTGCCCCCGCGTAAACAGGGGAAGAACAAGAACTGCTAGTGGCAGCCGCCATTTATGATATGGGTTTCGGAAAAAGGGAAGAGCTTTGGAGGTGTTGAGAGGGACGGAGGGGAAATGAAAATGAATAAGAGGGAGGAGGGTTTAGGGTTTATATATCTGCGGGATGCAGAAAAGCTGGCGGGGAAACAGGGGAGGAATTTGGGCGAGGAAGAAGAAGAAGAAGTTGGAGTAGTGAAGGACACGGTAACGACTTGTAGCACAGCTTTTTAACGGGTTTTCGCAGTTTAAGCTGTCGTTGAGAAATGAAAGCGAAATAAAAATATAAAATAAACAATACATTCTTTGTTGATTGTTTCTTGTTTTGGTGAGTGTAAAATAAGAAAATGTCAACGGGGGGTTTGGAAAAAAAAAAAAAACAGCTTCCTTTTGCCTTAATTTCCTCCTTGCTTGCTTGTTCTCTGCCTGCAAATGACTTTTTCCAAAACTCACAATATGACTTGTGAGAAAGTCAGATTCCAGATGACTCAAACCTTTGTATCCTTTATACACGTGTTCTACGATTATGATATCGGTGTAGTACTATAATATCATCGATTAAAATAATTATCGTTGAATCTGTGCATAATTACGATATGTGTTTGCAATTTGTGGATAGATTACATTGAGTACTGTTGGATGGGAAGAAGATAATGGGGGAATGGGAGTGGCGGCTCTCTCTAGTGTATTCATGAATCATGAGATGTGTTACATGAAAATGGCTTTTCCGACACAAATGGAAAATGTGAGGCTATCTTTTGATGTGGCTAGGTTTCTCTTTACATGGATCATGTTGGAGACGTGGAAGCAAACGTTTTAAAGATGAACTTGATTGGTGGTGTTGGGGATTTTTTTATATTAGGTTATAGTATCATATGACTCATGAAGGGATGAAGAATAATGTAACTAAATCAATTCATCGTGATTTACATTTTGTTCTTTCATAATTGGCGACTAAATTCACGAATTTTGAATTCGAGATTGTTTGTCTCTCCACCTTTCAGATCAACTAATTTTTGTTTTCCGAGGAAAATACCTCCATGGACACATGCAATGTCCTGTTGAAACACATAATTTGTTGTTGCATGTACACATTCTCTATGTACGCATGGTCCGCTCTTATCCGTCTTTCGACTCGATATAAGGAACCTGGTAGCACTATATCCTTACTGTCTGTTTACCCATAAAAAAATCAGCTTGTACCACATTGATTAACTACAAGAAATTCAATGAATTTATAAGGCCAGCTCAACATTAATAATTAAAAGAGCTAGCTAGGCCTTGTTGGGTTGGGTTTTTGGGCCTAAGTGGCCAAGCCCTTTCTTCCCTACATGACGGTCGACTCACCTCCTTGGCCCCATAGCCAGGCGATGCGTTTCACCCCTTGGTAAGAAATTTGGCCTCCAAAAAACTAAGTCTTGGAAACAAGGCGATACAACGGGGTGCCAAACGGCCGGGTACCAAAGCCTTGGAAACAAGGCGATACAACGGGGCGCCAAACGGCCGGGTACCAAAGCCTTGGAAATAAGGCGATACAACGGGGTGCCAAACGGTCGGGTACCAAGCCTGGTACCAAATAAGGGGGCCAAACAAGAGGGTAAATTTGGCTAAGTCTTGGAAACAAGGCGACACAACGGGGTGCCAAACGACCGGGTACCAAGCTGGCAAGGAGGGCCTAGTACCAAAGTATATGAGAATTGGCTAAGTATGGAGCCATAGGGCATCAAGCCGACAGGCTTGATAGCCAAGCAAGGCGACAAGGTACCATGCCCCAAGGTGGTATCAAGCCGGCAAGACTGACTTAGTGGCTAGGCAACGGGGGGCCAAGCTAGGTACCAACTAAGAGAGTCATACAGAAACTAAGTATGGAGACCAAGCCACCAGTCATGGAGGCAAGGTTGAGGGCTTCAACCTCATCCAGTCAAGACAGGTCAAGGAGCTCCAAGGCAATGGAGGTGAAGATCAAGACAACGGTTACCAATTGGCAACCAAGGAGGTGAAGATCAAGACAACGGTTACCAATTGGCAACCAAGGCATCGTAAAGGGGTCCATAAGGCGGTTGGAGCAACAAGACGGATATCAGTTACCAAGGCAGTTACTCCTAGAAGCTATAAATAGAAGAAACGAAGAAGAAGCAAGGGTTCCACAACCAAACATTTGACGCACAATGTCAAAATTTATCTTTTCTCTGCAAATCAGCTTTTAGTTTTCGGAGCTCTCACTGAACCTCCATAGGAGTAGAGTAACTTAGATAATTCCAAAAAACCATCAAAAACATCAAACACCCTCGTTCGAACATTGTTCGGAGAGGTGTGAACCGTGTTGATTGTCGTTGTTCAAGAAGTCAAGGTGCAATCATTTATTTCAAACACCAGTTTTTCCTCGCCGGAAAACAAATTGGCACACCTGGTGGGACGCTGTGTGTTTGATTCGATGGCTCCTAGGAGAAAGAATCAGGAAAGTGATGCTCCGTCAGGGTTTGTGGAGGAGCAGGTGGCCAACATTGAACATGGCCAGTTAGCTGAAGCGGTTTCCGGTGACAATGACGGCGGGGAATCCTTGCCGCCGCCGGCACCAAGCTCAAACGTTGATGTAGTTGCTGCCATTGGGTCACTTCGCCAATTCATGGGGGAAGCTTTGGCCGGCAACACTCTTCAGGTAAATTCTCAACTTGATTGTCTTAACTCCTGTGTAGATAGGCGGTTAAGTCAACTTTTTGAAATTGTAACTAAAAATAGGAATGATTTTGATGAGTTCAGGAGAATTTTGACCACACCAGTGGTACAATCACGAGCTTTGCCAATTGATGGCACAAGTTCAACTCCAAACAATGCAAATTTTTCTCCCGTCGGTGGCCGGAATGGCCAACTACGACAGGATAACTTACCGCCGCCGGTGACAACCCAACCAACCCCTCACCACGTAAATCGCGGCGAGATTCCCGCCACCACTCAAGTGGAGGCTTCAGTTAACGTGGGAGGTGGGGAACTGCCTCCACGAGGCGAAAATTTTGCCACTACGTTCAACACCCATGTTGAACAACCGCCATCCATCCCAGTGGCGAGGCCCTACATAGCTCCTCCTAACATGGGTGGGGGAGGAAGGTTAGGTGTTGGGGATCAAGTTCCCCCACGTGCTTACCCAACACCCATACCACCCCAAGTCCATGGGCATGGTGTGGACCCCATGGGGTTCGTACCGCCAGGGGGGCAAGGGGGCCATGATGCTAATACCCTAAGGGATCAGGTGGCTCAACTCCTTACCGAGCAATTTGGTTTAGGAGTAAGGCCCACCATGCCACCTGTGTACCGTAAGCCTTACCCGGAATGGGTAGATAGGTTATACCCATTCCCAAGAGGGTTTAGGGTGCCTGAGTTTGCCACCTTCACGGGTACTGGTGACCAGTCCACTGTCGAACATGTGGGACGGTTTACTGTCCAATGTGGAGACGTGGGTGACTTTGTCAAGCTGAGGCTTTTTGGAAATTCGTTGACAGGGCCAGCTTTTGCATGGTATGTCAACTTGCCGTCTAACTCTGTCCAAACTTGGCAACAGATGGAACAAATTTTCCATGCTCAGTTCTATAGATCTGAGCCCGAGGTCTCAATGGCTGACTTGGCACGCATGCGCCAACAACCAGGGGAGTCGGTCGAGCATTTTTTGACTAACTTCAAGAATGCTCGTAACCGTTGCTTTGTCAACTTGACAGAGAGGGAATTTGTCAAGCTGGCTCAAGGGGGCTTGAGCTTTGAGTTAAGGAAGAAATTCCAAGACAGAGAGTTCTCGGACTTGTTCCAGCTCATGTCTTGTGCTGTGAGATATGAGTCTCTTCTCCAAGAAGAGGAGAATAGGAGGAGTGCATCAAGGGGGCAATACTTCCCCACAATCAACTACCCTGTTAACCATGTTGGCCAGGAGGCCAATGAGGTGGAGGTAGATCTGGCTGAATTGGCCCCAGGGAAGCCATATGTATGTGCTTCTTTGGCTAAGGCTGAAAATGAGCCACAAGGGGGCAGACCCAATAGGGCCCCTATCCAGCCACGCAAGTACTCCTTTGACATCTCGAAAGCTGACTTGATTTTTGATCAACTCTACAAGGATGGTCAGATCAAGTTAACTGGGGGGCATAACATACCACCACCCGAGAAATTAAAAGGAAAGAAGTATTGTAAATGGCATAACAGCATGTCACATGCCACTGACTCATGTGTGATTTTCCGTAACGTCTTGCAGGATGCTATTGAGAAGGGGCGTATCAAGTTCCCGGAGCCAAAGAAGGATGCCATGTTGGTGGATACTGACCCATTTCCCAACGTGGTAGGCATCAACATGGTTAACCCGGACCTCTCCAAAATTGAGTTGCCCCGTTTCAAGTTGGTGTTAGATACAACACCGCCCCAACACGGGAGCTCCAATGCAACTTATGAACAAGGGAGCTCGTCAGGTACAAAGCAGGCTAGCCCAGCCGCAATGATGATGGATGAAGTTGAAAAGCTGTGTGCTCAGTGCAAGAAGAGTCTCAAACTTGATGAGGCGAGGCCTTCAGCCTACCAAAGACTTGGCCCACCCAACAGGCCGAGATACCCTTCTTATCAGAGACAAGTGGAGGGGGTCGTCCAGCCGGCTTGGGGTCAACGAAGGCAATGGATAGCACATGGGATTCCTTCCATGCGTAGTCCTCCCGTCAGAGGCCCTCCTGCGATCAGAACTTTTAAGATTCCCAATGTGCCACAACGAGGATGGCATACTTATGACATGCGTCGTCAACAACCAATACCCATTGGGGGGATGACAAGGACTCAAAGGAGGAGATTCCTACGTAAGAATGCCGAAGCACGGCAGGGGAGGTATCCAGTAATACTTGGTGCGAGGATCAGACCACCACAACACAATGATGTTGTTCCACCAAATATAGAGGTGGACAATTCGGTGACCACCGGGCTCAAGGTGACAATGACTGACAAAGGGAAGCAAGTCAAAGTACAGGGTGACGTCAAAATTCGTGAAGGGGTTGAGGATGACTTCCAAGAAGGAGGCGACTATGAAGATGAGTATGCTGAAGATGACATGCTAGAAGATGAGCATCCCA